GTGGGGAATAGTATATTGACTTGTGTGATATGGTCCTCACCACAGATCTCAGTGGGGAATAGTATATTGACTTGTGTGATATGGTCCTCACCACAGATCTCAGTGGGGAATAGTATATTGACTTGTGTGATATGGTCCTCACCACAGATCTCAGTGGGGAATAGTATATTGACTTGTGTGATATGGTCCTCACCACAGATCTCAGTGGGGAATAGTATATTGACTTGTGTGATATGGTCCTCACCACAGATCTCAGTGGGGAATAGTATATTGACTTGTGTGATATGGTCCTCACCACAGATCTCAGTGGGGAATAGTATATTGACTTGTGTGATATGGTCCTCACCACAGATCTCAGTGGGGAATAGTATATTGACTTGTGTGATATGGTCCTCACCACAGATCTCAGTGGGGAATAGTATATTGACTTGTGTGATATGGTCCTCACCACAGATCTCAGTGGGGAATAGTATATTGACTTGTGTGATATGGTCCTCACCACAGATCTCAGTGGGGAATAGTATATTGACTTGTGTGATATGGTCCTCACCACAGATCTCAGTGGGGAATAGTATATTGACTTGTGTGATATGGTCCTCACCACAGATCTCAGTGGGGAATAGTATATTGACTTGTGTGATATGGTCCTCACCACAGATCTCAGTGGGGAATAGTATATTGACTTGTGTGATATGGTCCTCACCACAGATCTCAGTGGGGAATAGTATATTGACTTGTGTGATATGGTCCTCACCACAGATCTCAGTGGGGAATAGTATATTGACTTGTGTGATATGGTCCTCACCACAGATCTCAGTGGGGAATAGTATATTGACTTGTGTGATATGGTCCTCACCACAGATCTCAGTGGGGAATAGTATATTGACTTGTGTGATATGGTCCTCACCACAGATCTCAGTGGGGAATATTATATTGACTTGTGTGATATGGTCCTCACCACAGATCTCAGTGGGGAATATTATATTGCCTTGTGTGATATGGTCCTCACCACAGATCTCAGTGGGGAATACTATATTGCCTTGTGTGATATGGTTCTCACCACAGATCTTAGGAGGAAATAGTGTATTGACTTGTGTGATATGGTCCTCACCACAGATCTCAGTGGGGAATAGTATATTGACTTGTGTGATACGGTCCTCACCACAGATCTCAGTGGGGAATAATATATTGCCTTGTGTGATATGGTCCTCACCACAGATCTCATTTGGGAATACTATATTGCCTTGAGTGATATGGTCCTCACCACAGATCTCATTTGAGAATATTATATTGCCTTGTGTGATATGGTCCTCACCACAGATCTCAGTGGGGAATATTATATTGACTTGTGTGATATGGTCCTCACCACAGATCTCATTGGAGAATTTTATAAAGCCTTGTGTGATATGGTCCTCACCACAGATCTCAGTGGGCAATAGTATATTGACTTGTGTGATATGGTCCTCACCACAGATCTCAGTGGGGAATAGTATATTGCCTTTTGTGATATGAAGATCGATGTTGTTTATTATGCTTATTAATGTTAACCTAGTTGGTTCGTTGTCACTACCGCGGTTCACGATTTGAGTGCGTGAATGTTTTTGAAAATGACATAGATTTACATAGCGGCAGTCGTTGATAATGCCACAGACGCCTTCCCTTCCGGAATATATGATTTTAAGTTCGAAAGAGAATTTTGCTGACACTTCAATCTAAATTCTTTTACATTACTTGTCGTCTTTGACATTCCAATATGATTGGTAAGATGTAACTAGTCATTCTTACATGAACATTTCTCTTCAAGACTTGTTTGGCGTTATATGTGTTTTTCTTCTATATGTGATGACTTGGGAAAAGCCCGTATCTCTTATCTCTTCCTTACACACTGATCAAACTATTATAGAGACGTGCATCGTAATAAGTCTATATATTTATCAGTCCTTTTGATTTAACTCATGAATAGAAACTCAGGATTTAGACGAAGAATAATAAATGTCTATTATTTTGTTGACACAAATAAATCAATGAAGAGGATATAGTTTAGATTATTTTTTTTATCTTGTCAACCATAATACTCTATCAAAAAGCTTAAATTGTAACAACAAGATGAAGTAGATATTTTATGGTTAACTTCGTAAGTAAGTATGTACATATGTCTTCTTCATTGGGAAAAGTTACACTTAGTGTATTTCAGGGATTAATAATTTGCATTAACAGCTAAGGACGTGCCTCCATATGAAATGCATGATTGCCTTCTTGCGATAGCGACGATCTGATGCCGACTTTAGAGTGCTACAAACAATGGGGAAACCAGTGGTTGCACTCACCCTTATTGCTAAAAGTTAAGCTTGAAATAGTGTACTTGCCTTGTACATCAAGACGGCTGGGATTCGATTCCCCGATAGTACGTGAAAAGCACCTGACCGACCACATGGGTTTCATCTGGATAAGTTCTAGCTCTTTCCTTCAACATTAAGACGGTTGAACTTCTATATGAGGTACGACGGGTTCGCCCGGTGTCAGTATAATGTGACCGGGTGGGGCGTCCTGCTGGGTGTCTTCGGCAGTATGTTTCAGTGAGGTAGCACTATAAAGTCGGCATTTGTTCCGTGCTATCACAAGGAGACAAACGCGAACATATCGCAGCCTCCCAAAATACACACGCATACACTACACGCATGCATCTTGCACGCAGGGGAGGCCGTCCTTAAATTACCTAAGCTGTTAATAGAACGTTAAACAAAATAAAACCAAACCAAACCAAACCAATATATATAAGGTAAAAACAGTGTTTAAAAGATATGTTGATAAAACATGTTTAATAAAAGTTGTAAAATGAGTAAAGTTGATATTTTATACACACTACACACACCGCGCACCCAACACTATACACACTACATACATTACACACACGACCTCCAGATGTTGACGGTAAAAGCACTAAATCAGACTTGATTGTTCGTGGTGTGACAAAGTACGAATCGGAAACATTTGATGTCCAGATATAGCTGTCATGTGTCCATCACAGGATCATCCTGCCAGCATGGATACACCTTACACCAGACACTAAAACGTCTATACCAGTCAATGTCGGGCCATGCTTTACATGGCTACAGGCCATCCTTGTACTTTGTTCAATCACTAGAACGTCTGTTAATGAAGAACCAATGTTCACCGGGAAACTTTGATTGTTCTTGTTTTGTGTTGTTTTCAGGATGTCTGCCAATGCGGATATCACGAGCTGGTTATATTTCATATTACCGCTGTCACCTCCTGTGTTTGAAAAAATACATATTTAAGTCACAAATGCTGCATTTTTAATGATTAATTGTCAAAATATGTCCGTGAAATATATCACCATGTTTCTTTGCATTGTAGTATTACATTGTATTTTCAAACTGTTTTATTGGTATCATGTGAGGAAATTACCAGATTACGTCTGTTGGGATGAAATCGTGCAAAATCAATTAACATGCTACGGTCTGATGGGCTGATTTCTAATAAATCTTGTCTCCTCTCAAATTTTGTTTCACAAACACATTGCAAAGACCGCCATATTACACCATATTACATTATCTTCGTGGTGCTTTTTTATTAAAGTATTTTCGGTTCTTGTTTTATTTTGTATTTTCTTGTTGATTTTAAATTTTGTTTTGTTGTGATTGTATTCGAAAGTTTGACATCATAATGTTTTGTAATATTGATTTTATAAAAAGAAACCATGGTGTATGTTAATTTGTGCCCGAACCGTTTATATTTACAGTATATGTTGAAATCAAATAAAGAAAACACTTGAACTCTATTCTGGCCACCATTCCGTACCAGATACAAGTCTACACTAGTCGAGCCGTCCCTCTTGGCTAACTATGACATATACCCATGTCCTCTTCCAGGTCAGTATTTCAACATAACATTGGTCACATTTGCGTCATTTTCCATGAATGAAGCCCTCTAGCAAGTTCTATCACGTGCATCAAAACTTAATCCTTTCTTGCTAATGGTGGACATTAGTTCGTTTGTAAAGGTCAAGATGTAGGAAAAATCGATTTATGGAGATACGAAACATGTTTATTGTACAGGAATTGTTACTTCAATAACAGAAGTGTAACTACGCCACGACAAAACAACTAAAGGAATTCGACAAGAAGCGCAGTTAGAATTAACTTTTGATGAACAGTGCCCAAATTTTAAAATACTTTACAGTTATAGCATGTTGATGAGGCCAATCCCTAATTCTATTACACCATTCAACAATAAAAATACATGTTTTATTATTGTCTGTTTTTATATCGTTACGCCTTTACGTCATTGAAATACTTAAAGTATAAGGCTTAGCTGACACAAATGCTTAATGGTTTGTTTAAGCCGGATATGCTTTATTTACTGTCAGTATACGGCTGGGAGAAGGTACCTCGATAGGGCGTAACATACAAGCTCCTCGAAGTTATTCTTACCGGAATGAAATATTTGACATTAAAACCATTTTATTTGCTATCTTATACCTTCCAACCTCGAAGATGACGATGCATCTGTATAGTTTTACTACAATAACAATCATGAAATTAAACTTGATTCTGACGTCATCACTAACGATTAAAAGATAAATGATAGATATACAAGCATTATAACATATAGAAATCAGCGTAGACTAGGGACTCGCAGCAACAGGTGTGAGGATCTTGATATCTCAGGCAAACTGTTGTAGCTCACACTCTTATTACCGATATTTAGTTGTTGCCTCATATAGTTATGTTGTTTTCGTTTTTATCCAGGAAGCAGGTCTGTCTCCAATTCATCCACAGGAGACATCCGGATTTGTAGGGCGTTCTCTCCGAGCGTTGCTACGTACCTGAGCTGACTACCTATGACTGGGGGCGCTCTACAGTGATGGATGTCCGCGGCGTTATCCTTGCTACTACCTCCTGTCATGAGTAATTCGTCTCGCGTCACAAAACGCCCCAGTAAACAGTCCCAGACACACTACACCAAACCTATCTCGTCTTTCGGAATTATTTACCTGTATCTTTCACCTGTGGATTTATATTTCATCAAACTAATATTTGTATTTACTGATCTTCGAGGAAAACAGGTGAGTTTTTTTTTTTTGATTTCATATAGTTCTATATGTTTGTAAATTTAAAGCAAACGAAACCAGATGGTCAGCTTTCCAGGCGCTGTCCATCTTGTGTAGTGTAGATATACCTGCTGCTGTCGGAGTGTAGGAGTGGTCGGGATTTATACACATACACCATATAGATTAATATGTCAAATATAAACTAAACGTTAAAACAATGTAAAGTCACAGGACATAATGATATATATGGTAAACATTGCCATACCCTACACATACAAGACCTTTTGTTTATTGACTAATTTCATAATAAATACAAAAATACATACAACAACGTTATACAATTACTGTATACGCACACGTTACAACATCACTATGAAATGGGCCCATTCAATACTGAATTATTAGAGACGAGTTACATACTAACATGGGCCTGTACGTTATCACATAATTTATCTAAATTCATTAAATAATATGTAACGATCAAATTGGATCGTATGAACTAAAATACAATACTCTGTCACAAAATGATATTGTTTATGATAATAATGATATCGATCATGTACCTTAAAACGTACTTGTTTGACCTCACTCTTCTAAAAAGCTAAATTAATATAGATCTGCGACCTTGACCCGTATTTTTGTTATAAACATCTTTTTTGTTGACCTGATAACCTTATTCTGCAAGGAGACATAGTTAAATAAACAGTTAAACAAAAAACTTTCCTTAGACTTAACAATAGTTACCGATTCTTAGATTTCATAACATTTGCCCACATTTGAATATGTTTCTACATGTTAACTCTAGGAAACACACTGAAATTGAATATTTAAATGGCATTTCAAACATTGTTGAAACGTCCCATTGTCTAATCCTAGCATCACATTACTTCAACCTACTTGTATATAATATATCGACTTATTTGGAATAGTGTGTATGATAGCCATGTTTTGAAATTTGTGAAATTTTGCAGCCTTTCCTTAATTGTTAAAGCTCTTATTAGATCAAATACGGTGACGTAGCACTATACATGTATAACGGCTGGGTTTATTGATACATTGTTGGTAAAACGATTCTTATAACGATATCAATTACTTTTTCATATTTTATCATTTCCGGTTAATTCATTATTATCATAATATTTGCATAAATCTTTTCTCTCCTATCTCGATAACTGTTAAACGAAATCGAACACTCGATTAAGAATGATACATCAGTTAATGACGTGATTGAAGATGATGGACGAGCTTGTTTGTAAGCGAACAAACAAAACAGTGGATGTGTCAAATAAAGTGACAGTATACTTATCCAGAGTTACAAAATCTCCACACACAAGTGACCGTAGGGAACCCCCGCCTCATGACGAGATCACTTCCTGTTACTTGTGTTACATATTTGACTTCCGGAAGTTCCATGTAACGGTCTGTTTTATAATTACCATGTGTATTCGAATTATACATTTTACAAAAATCCAGGTAAAATGTTATACTAAATTCAAGTTGCAAAAAATAATTCCGCGAAACTCCATAGTCATGTGCTTGTGCTGTCTGAAGCTATAATGATGTAGGGATTACAGATGTAGGTAGATAACGAAGTGAGCGTAACACATCGAGTATCGAGGATGGCTAATTACAATTTGATAATTTATCGATGTGTTATTGTTTTTATTTAGTTCTGTTGCATTCTAAAATTATATAAAAAGAGAGTTTGAAGGTTTTCTGCACGTTACATGGTATCCATAAATCGACAAAGTCGGTTAGGAAGTCATCACCTTTTGTAGGTTATCAAAAATAATCTATCATTGGTGTGGTGGAGGTGTTAGATAAAATAAGCAGTATTTCAGTTTCTGTACAAATATCCGTTAGTACGGACCGAGAACTGATGCGGACTCGTCGAATTCTGTTGATTGTATCACTACAATGATACGACGAATGATTTCACTGTGGCGTGAACTAATCGTGTTCTCATGTGGACACGCTTCTCTCGTTGTTTGTATATAAACCTGTATACATAAACTATAACAGGTTTATGTAGCGTAGTGTGTAGTGCAAACACACTCACACCTACAATGTATACGGCTTTTACATGTCTACGCACAGATCATGGTGACCTGATACTGTACATTTGCTATACTATTTCTGCAAGGTCAATGGGGGCGTACACCATGTAGTTAAACTGTTGATATTCTACGTTCAGCCAATGCTAATTATAAGATTACAATATATGTTTATTTCTTGAATTAGCATGTCACATTCTAACGGGATGACTGGCACAGACATAATGTGTGTCTACCATAAACTTATTATTCTCTACGTATAACATTTTTCTCCCACTTTTCACAGGTTCATTTCCGGTTTAGGTAGGGAAAAAAATCAATCTGTCCAATGTCATATAGACAATAGAAATATCCAGCTCCGGGATAAGAGTTTTGAAGTCAAGCACTCGGCAAAGCCTCGGTTTGAAATCTCTCTGTCTACATCACATATTGATAGATTCTATTAACCTTACACACGGAACAAATTATCCGTACTTCATGTACGTACACGACTTTAGTACTATGTGCGGTTCTTTTGCTCGTACAAAATATGATCTTATTCTTAATAACATTTCATGTACGTACACGACTTTAGTACTATGTTGTAGATGTACAATACTTTGTTGCTCGTACAAAATATGATCTTGTACGTAAATTATATATTTTGCCTCTATATAGCCTTTATACGCCGCCGTACCACTGACAGTTGTAATTACATTTCTTTCGGTGACATCAAGGTTGTCCAGAGCTACACCTACCAGGCGACGTCACCAATGACGCTTCAATGTTAAACGTTTACTGTTTGTTTGAACTTTAACTTCTTTACCGCGTTTGTTGAACAATTCAGAATGCCTACTAAATACTTTCCTGATCTCCGACACACCTGGTCTATTGAACTCGACAAGTTCAGTAATGACATTATAACATTGGGCATTATGACAAAGTTTAAGGCATAACGATAGGAATTGTACGCGGAAGTCGACCCTCGACATCTCGAAATTGGCAAGACTATGACAGTAGTCAAATTTAACAGATATCAGGTTAACTTTCTGATATATAATACAATATTGGTTTGTTCGGATTCAGTGCAAATATTGGATCATATCAATTGATGTGATAGGACCAGCTTATTATTTCGTATCTACTCGATGTTTCGTTATACCAGTACTTTAGTACCAGCCATAGTTTGTTTAGGGTATCCTTACATGATATAGGTACATGTTTTTGTCATTAACGTATGCGTAAGACGTATATCACGGAGGAACTTCTAGAAGATAGGTGTAATCCTAAATTGTAATTAACTTTTAATAATTTTATCTCATCGTATCTTAAACTCTCTGTACTTAAAATACGGCATAATCTCGTTTGAGTTGACGAATTTGTTTGTCGACAAAGTTATTGAAATAAGATGGGTGATGCAATATCGGACAAAAACACCCTTATAATCGACAAAGATTTAACCGGTATCGGTATGTTCTTTTAGCTATCATTGAAATGATTTTCACAATTTTGTACACTTGCAAGTTGTGTACATACATTTGAGTTTCAACAAATTTTATTGAATTAACAAAAGGATTAGATAACAGGCAGTGCCTATATAGGTCTTCTCCTGAAAGTGTACAAACATGTATTTTATGTGCGTGCTTTTGCACATTCAGGACTGACCACTCCTTCCCTAATATCTAAAAACCTGACCAGAAACAGACTTGTCGATCCAGGAACAGACATCAGTCAATGCCAGCCCGGCAGTGATAAGTTGGGTTTTGTGTAAGCCGTCCGATCATGTACAGGCTCTGTCCGATTACAATGAAGTTTTACAGCTAGCTTCAGGCACGTACCTGGTCGCTATATATACGGGGCTATAACACTGACCAAGGTGTCGACGATAAACACTTTAATAGTTTATATATGTTAAAGATCTTTTCTTTATCAAAATATTTAAACGTGTGGTCCGGAAACAGTGGTTATTGAATAGGTAACCCGGTTTGTCTGGACCGTCAATGCACGCGGTCATAACTGGAATATTGTATTTGTAAATGTGTTATGTTATAACATGCTCAAAATTTTATGAAAAAGAATGGGACTATTTTTATTCAATCTGAAACGTTTATAAGATTCCTGTTGGGTACAGTTTTGAAGACAACCAAGCGCAGCTAAGAAAGGGGAGACACACATTTTTAATTACGTTTATACATGTAATCTTTATATTCCGTGTGAATGTATTAATAAGCTTAATTGTCAACTTCAAATGAATGTACTACTCTGAAGTGAAGATAAAGACATATTTTTTAGTGTTTGATCGGTTTAAAATTAACAGAAAGAGAATATGTATTTTGTCTTCATTGGTGATCGAAGCAGTGATCCTCAGCCTCCCGGTGCGCCGCTCAACCGTCGCAATTGGGTTTAAGGGTAATTCCCTGTAGTGTGAAGCTAGGAGGCGAACGTTTCCCTAATTGTATTGGCCCACGTTATTGTTACTGTCAATCATAATTGTATATACACTTACAGATTATATGATATTTATGATGTGCATGCATTTGCTTATTAGCTTACATGACAGTTACACCCCTGTTTAATATACAATGGTACTGCATGTGTATATATGGACGACCCCAACCCCCTGGAATTATGATCTTCGAGATCGATGACTCGGGTCAAACGTAGGTCGTCAGTGCAATTTAATGATTGTATCTGCTCAGGTAAAATACTCTCTTTATATCTATAGCTGTAAAGAGGGCAATGAATGTGTTAATACAATAAATTATGCATAGGATGTAGACGGGTGATAGTTAACAGCATATTAAAATGAAGCGTTTTTTTGACCCAGAGTTTGAACTTTATCTTCCTAGTTTGATATCCTTGTCACTCATCCATTTTTGACAGATGTATCGAACGCCCTCTGGTCATGTCCAACCACCTGGTGTAGTGTATGTCCAATTCGATGGTCAATGACAACCCTCATTGACCACCACATAAACACAA